TTCTAATATTGTTTTGTCTTACGGTATCACTTATCTCTTGAACTCTCCCCTCATGACCCGGTAGTTGTTTTTCTCTCTTTTTCTCAGCTTCTTTATTCTCCATCATTTGGTCTTCTATATCACTAATTCTCTCTTCTGCCTCATTTATCCCAGCAGTTAGAACATCCATTTTTTAAAAATTTTTTATTTTTATTTTTTAAGATTTTATTTATTTATTTGACAGATATCACAAGTAGGCAGAGAGGTAGGCAGAGAGAGAGGAGGAATCAGGCTTCCTCCTGAGCAGAGAGCCCGAATTGGGGCTCGATCCCAGGACCCTGGATCATGACCCGAGCCAAAGGCAGAAGCTTTAACCCACTGAGCCACCCAGGTACCCCAGAACATCCATTTTGTATTGCACCTCAGTAATAGCCTTTTTGATTTCAACTTGGTTAGATTTTAGTTCCTTTATTTCTTCAGAAAGGGATTCTCTAGTATCTTCTATGCTTTCTTCAAGCCCAGCTAATATCTTTATAATCACCATTCTGGACTCTAGTTCTGACATCTTACAAATGTCCCTATTGACTAGGTCCCTGGCAGTCAGTACTGCCTCTCATTCTTTTTTCTTTTCTTTTCTTTTCTTTTTTTTGAGGTGAGTTTTTCTACTTTGTCATTTTGTCCAGAGAAGAATAGATGAATGGAGAACAAAATGCTAAAAGGGTAACAACAACCCCAGAAAAATATATATATAAACAAATCAGAAGAGTCCTGAAACAGAATGGGGGAGGGTGAAGAAAAAGAATACAATCAGGCTGGTGAATAGAATAGAGCCACACAGTAGATTTTGGTTGTATTTTGGTCTTTTAGGAGAAACTGCCTCCCAAAATTTTAAAGAAAGAAAAACTTATATATACACACAAAAATAAGGGTAAATATGATGAAGGGATGGAATGTGACTGTAAAGATGAAAATTAAAAAAGGTTTTAAAAAAGGAATTGATAAGGTAAGAAGTTGTTTTAGAGAAAAAAATGAAAAAAAAAAAAAGAGAATGTGATCAGGCAGGAGACTAGAACAAAGCCACACACTATTATTTAGGGTATATTTTTGTCTTTTGGGAGAAACTGTATCCCAAAATTATAAAGAAAAAAAACTTATATATATACAAAAATAAGGTTAAATACAATGCAGGGATAGAGTATGACTGTAAAAATGAAAACTGAAAAAGATTTTTGAAAAGAAATTGATAAGATGTTGGTTGAAAAAGGAAAGAAGAAATATTCCAAAAAAAGAAAAAGTAAAAAATAATGAAAATTAAAAATATTAACTTTGAAAGACTAAAGAATCATGGGGAAAAAGCCATGAATTCTGTGCGCTGTATTCCCCTAGTGCTGGAGTTTTGCAGTTCTCATTGATGAGTAAACTTGGTCTTGGGTGGATGTTCTTGTTGATCTTCTGGGAGAGGGAGTCTCTTGGAGAGTTGTACCACCCTTGCCAGTGGCCAGGCTAAGTAATCTGCTTGGGTTTGCTCTCAGAAACTTTTGTTCTCTGAACACTTTCTGTACAGTTTTGGAGGATGAGAATGAAGATGGCGGCTTCCTGATCTCCAATACAGTGGAGCCGAGAGCTTGGGGCCCCATTCCTCAGTGCACCCTCGGAGAAAAGCAGTCAGTCACTCCTGTCTCCCTGGTGTCCGGCCACACTCCAAGCTCCCCTGGCCTGTGACTGAGCATCTGTCTCTGGTGCATGGCCCCATTTGGAGTCTCCAAACCCAGCAGATTCCTGTGGTGTTCTCCTGTACCACTCCTCCTGGGGGAGGTAGGGGAGTCTCCCCAGATCTGCTGCTTATTGGGTTCCTGCTGGAAGAGTAGTGACCCAGCTGTGCCATGGATCATGGTTTATGGCAATCCTGTGCTGAGAGCCCCCTCCTCAGCTCTGTCTTTGCAACTAGCTTCCCCACTGTGATACTTGGGAGCTCTGCCACACTCAGGCATCCCTGGTCTTTCTGTGACCCCAAGGGCCCTGAGACCATGCTGTCCCAGGGAGGGTTCCACCCCCCGCTCTCCCTGCTTAGCCACTGGAGCAAAGTCCCTCTGTGGAGCAGACTTCCACAAGTTCTGAGTTTGTGCTCTGCTGCTCTCTCACTGGTAACCAGCTGATGGAGGCTTCCTGCCCCCAACCCCCCCACAGTCTCACCTCAGATTCACTTCCCCACATGTCCTGCCTTCCAAAGAGTGGTCGCTTTTCTGTTCATAGAATTGCTGCTCTTCTCTCCTGTTGAGTTTGCTGGTAATCAGAATGGTTTGATAACTAGCTAAATTCCTGGGACAAAATTTAGGTCTCCTACTCCTCCACTGTCTTGCTCCCATACCACCCCCTCCCCATTTCAGTCTTTTAAAATTTGTTGAGATTTGCTTTATGGTTCAGTATATGGTCAAGTTTTTAAAATATTCCTTGTATGCTTGAAAAGAATGTGTTCTTCACAAGTATTAGATGTGGTGTTTTATACGATGTACATTAGGTTAATATTGTTAATTGTATTTTCCAAATCTTTCAAATATCTACTGATTTCTTTTTGTCTACTTGTTCTGTCAGTTACTGAGGGAAGTATATTAAAATCTTCTCTTATGTGTGTTTTTATCTAGTTCTCTTTGTTGTTCTATCAATTTAATATGCCTATTTACAGCAAAAAAATTTAGAATGGTTGTATCTTTCTGGTGAATGAAAGACCTCATGCTTATAACATGAACCTTTGTATCTGTAATAATGCTCTTTGTCTTAAAGTCTAGTTATTCAATAATGATATAGCTACATAATTTTTATAGTTTATGTTTTTTCAACTATTTTCTTTTCATTGTTATTATTATTGTTATTTTAATTTAAAGTAAACTCTACACCACACATGGGGCTTGAACTCACCACCCCAAGATCAAGAGTTGCATGCTCTACCAACTAAGCCAGCCAGGTACCCCTCAACTTTCTATTTTCAATCTTTTTTTTTTTAATTTATTTTCAGCGTAACAGTATTCATTGTTTTTGTACCACACCCAGTGCTCCATGCAATCTGTGCCCTCTCCAATACCCACCACCTGGTTCCCCCAACCTCCCGCCCCCCGCCCTTTCAAACCCCTCAGATTGTTTTTCAGAGTCCATAGTCTCTCATGGTTCACCTCCCCTTCCAATTTCCCTCAACTCCCTTCTCCTAACTCCCCATGTCCTCCATGCTATTTGTTATGCTCCACAAATAAGTGAAACCATATGATAATTGACTCTCTGCTTGACTTATTTCTTTTTTTTTAATATTTTATTTTTATTTATTTGACAGACACAGATCACAAGTAGGCAGAGAGGCAGGCAGAAAGAGAGTGGGGGAAGCAGGCTCCCTACTTGAGCAGAGAGCCCGATGTGGGGCTCAATCCCAGGACCCTGGGATCATGACCTGAGCTGAAGGCAGAGGCTTTAACCCACTGAGCCACCCAGGCGCCCCTTGATTTATTTCAATCTTTATGCATTTTTAAGTTTTCAAGTACATATTTCATTGAAGGATTATTGATGTATACAGAAAAGTGTACAACATTTTAAATGTATGGATTGATTAATTTTTCCAAAACACACATACTAACTGAGCCAGCACTTAGGTCATGAAAGAGAACCTGAAGATTAACCCAGAAACTTCTTTGTGTGTCCTTTAAATCACCATGAATCTATGCCTAGATTCTTCTAGAAATATTCTTGTTCTTTTAGTTCTAGCAAATAGTGTGTCTTCGTGGTTTAGCTTTCTCTGTGGCTAAGTTAGTCCCTGTGAATGAATCACTGCAAAGCTCGGCTTAGAAATGGTCCCTGAATCTCAGAGCATTTGACCCTTCCAAGTTTTGTGAACATTTCTTATAGTTGAGTGGGGGGTCTGTTAGTCATAGAACTACTAACTGGGCTTCCTCCTAGAACCTGACTTTCGTCTGATGTCATTCTTTTGTTGATTCCCACTCTCTGGTTTGAATTGGCTTGCACACCTATACCTATTCATTAAGTCACAACCAAAAGGCCTTTACCTTTTCTTCAGGTTGATGAACTTTTTTACAAGCTTCTTCCAACGTTAGGATTTTGACCTCAATTTTCTTAGAATATTTACTTTAGAAAATTTATGATCATAAATTCTTTCTCTGCTCCTTTGAGATGTCAATCTTGTAAAAAGCCTCTTGCTAGTTCATAGGGCAAGGATGTCCCAACTCAATAGATGGGAGCCATGTCTTTGAAATGCAATGAACAAGGAAGGAAGCCCACATCTCCCATTCTTTGTGAGACTGTGGAAATCTCACTCCCGTGGACAGTGCTTGTTTCAAGTTACAAAACTACCTCCTATCATAGAGAGGTGACAAGTTTATTTTACCTTTGTGTAAATACAGTTAGGGAACACGGATGGCCTGTATTTTTTAAAAAACTCACCAATCACCCCAGCACTTAAGAATCCTTTTACCAGGGCCACCTGAGTGAATCAGTTGGGTAAGTGTCTGACTCTTGGTTTCAGCTCAGGTCATGATCTCAGGGTCCTGAGATCCAGCCCCAAGCTTTGGCTCTGTGCTCAGCAGAAGGCCTGCTTCAGATTCTCTCCTTCTGCCCTTCCGTCACTTGTTTGCACATGCTCTCTCTCTACCCCCCTCAATAAACAAACAAATAATAAAAAAGAGTCCTCTTACCATTTACCTCAGCAGACTTTAGCTCAGACTGAGCTCTGTTCACTCTTATTGCAAGAATCTTGAATAAAGCCTTCTCTGCCTGTTTAACTTTGGTGCCATTTTTTATTCGAAATCCCATTGGGATTTTTGTCCACTCCTTCTATCCAGGCTGCAGAGCTGTCCTTGGCTAGATGGTTCTATTCCAGTCCTGCCAGGTCAGGCAGGCTTTATTTCTTAAACCTGCTTGTGCTTCTAAGCATTAATCCTGCTATAACCTTGAGCTTTTCAAAATTGTAATAGAGAATTCCATTGAGGAAAGTATTTTAAAAAGCCTGGTCTACTCTTGTCTCTTTATAAGATGCAACATCTTCTGCAGGCAAGGAGTCTCCACAGAGCCCCCTTCATGTCTCTGTTCCTCAGGCTGTAGATGAACGGGTTTAGCATGGGGGTGACCATTGTGTACACCACAGATGCCATCATTCCAGTGCCTGCTGAGTAGGAGGAAGAGGGCTGGAAATACACAAGAAAGACAGTTCCATAGAAAAGAGTGACTACTGTCAGGTGAGAGCCACAGGTTGAGAAGAGTTTGTGCTTCCCCCCAGCTGAGGAGACCCTGAGGATGGTGTGCATGATGTGGGCATAAGAGACCAGGACACAGGCGAGAGGGACCACACCTGCGAGGGCTGCTTCAGCAAACATCATGACCTGAAAGATCTGGGTGTCCGAGCAGGCAAGTTTGAGGACAGGGAGAAGGTCACAGAAAAAGTGTGGGATGGAATGGGAGGCACAGAAGGAGAGATGAGTCATGAGGAGGGTGAGTGAGAAGGCCAGGAGGTGGGCGCAGAGCCAGGATGCGGCAACCAGCAGCAGGCAGCGTTGGGGACACATGATGGTGGTGTAGTGGAGAGGAAGGCAGATGGCCACGTAGCGGTCATATGCCATCACGGCCAGCAGGAAGTCATCCAGCAGGGCCAATGCCATGAAGAAGTACATCTGTGCAAGGCAGCCAGTGTAAGTGATGGTGTGGTGCTGAGTAAGGGTGTTCACCAGCACCTTGGGGACAATGGTGCAGGAGAGGCAGGTATCAATGAGGGCCAGGTTGGCCAGGAAGAAGTACATGGGGGTGTGGAGGCGCTGGTCAGAAACTATGGCCAAGATGATGAGCAGGTTCCCCAACACGGTGACCAGGTACATGCCCAGGAAGAGCCCGAACAGGAGAGGCTGCTGCTCTGGGTGGTCAGAGAAGCCCAGGAGCAGGAAGTCGGAGATGCTTGTGTGGTTTCTGATTTCCTTAAGTAGAGAAATTGGAAGAGAATTTTGCTTAAATAAGGTAGGCCCTGAATAATACAGACCGCAAGGGCTTTGATCTGATTTTCTATGTTCTTTGAAAAGGTCACTGAGAATCACTAGCAGCTGTAACTCTGGGTTTGTAAACGTTGAGGGTTGTGGACTATGGTAATGAGGCATGAGGATGAGCTGTAGTTTGGGTTCTAGATTCCTGTCATGTAGCAAGTTTTTTGGCATGGATTGTCCGAGTGACATGAACTGGGATTCACCTGAAAGAACTTTGGCAAATTCAGCTCCCTTTCTAAAAGACTTAGAACAAGAAGCTTGGTCTCTTCTCTTTTGGAGCTCATTTTGGGGTCTTGCATCTACTAGGGTTTCATGGGCACTGCAGGGAGCCTGTGTGTACGTGTGTGAGTGTGTGAGTGCATCCTGGGGGAGATGGTGGAGGAGTCGTCTCTCCAGAGAGGAGCCAGTGGAGACCAGGTATCTTTAGGTGTAGTGGGGTGTTCCACTGACCTTTGCCTTAGAGAACCATTCCGCTGAGTCAGCGTGGATGTGAGAACGTTGGAAACTGAGATGTGCTCTCTTATTAATGACATACCAGTTTCGTTGTCCTCATCAACCTCACCACCACCACCTTTCTTTTTATGTTCTGGGCTTTGATGTCCTGGAGACAGGATGGGAAGCTTTTCTCTGCCTCTTATCTCAGTCTGAGCTCGGTCAGTTTCTGAACTCTGAATGTGTGTTTCCTCATTTGGACCATGGGCAGCACCTTCATGGAGTCATTGAGGTGATGACTGAGATAACATGTATGGAGGGAGGGTACTATCGAGGGTGGTGAGGCTCCTTCCATTGTTGGTCACAGTTGCTGACTGTGAAGCAGGGACACATGATGCAGTGGAGAAGCATCAGATGCCCTGTTATAGCTCTGTTTCTTATGTGCGTTTTAAACTCGGGGACAGTTTTTCTCACTTGGAGCCTTACTTTCCTTCTCTGTAAGATATGCATGCTAGCCTTACCTGATAGGCGTGTTGAGGGGACCAAGGGCTGGAATCCGCTGAAGTTTCCTTATCAACCATGATGTGCAGTCAAGATGAGAAATTTCCACCTTCCTGTTTAATGGTGTGGAGAAACATTCAACAAACGTTCAGTGGCGGCATGGCTTCGTGCCATGTTTGTTTAGGGTTGTGATAAAAATGTAATATACCCTTGGGAGGTGGACAGAATTTCCCCACTCTTTACTTTTTTTTTCCCTTTAAGTTTTATTTCTTTAGAGAGAGAGATTGAGAATGAGAGTGAGTGAGTGAGGAGTGAGGGAGAGACAGTGGGAGAGGAAGAGCATCTCTAGCAGACTTCCTGCTGAGGAAGAGCCCATGTAGGGCTTGATCGAGGATCCTGAGATCAGACCCCAGCGAAAATCAAGGGTTGGATGCCCAACAGACTGAGCCACCAAGACGCCCCATTCCCCCTCTTTACTCTTTAAAGATTTTATTTATTTATTTGACAGAGATCATAAGTATGCAGAAAGGCAGGCACGCACACAGAGAGAGAGAGATAGAGAGAGAGGAGGAAGCAGGCTTCCTGCTGAGCAGGGAGCCCGATGTGGGACTCGATCCCAGGACCCTGGGATCAAGACCTGAGCCTAAGGCAGAGGCTTTAACCCACTGAGCCACCCAGGTGCTCCCACTCTTTACTCTTTATATGATTTTGAGAAAGTTGCTAAACTTTTTAAATGGGATAATATCTTTTTTTTTCAATTATTTATTTATTTATATCTTTTAAATGGGATAATATCTGAGTTGAATGAATCCAGTGTTTGTGAAGATTACATTGGGATAAAAAATGATGGTGTAATGTTTAGACCAAGGCTGGCACCTAAGTGCTCAGTAAATAGGGTCTAGTATTGTAATTGCCTTTTTTTTTTTTTTTTAAATAACATGCGGGTGCTTTGAGGTTGTGGTGTTGTGGGCTGTGCATCTAGATTGGGCTTGCCACTTGTGGGGTAAGAACACCAAAAGCCACCTCCACCACTGTGACCATGACACCATCAGCAGCATCAGCAGCACCGGCTCTGAAGAGTTATATCTCTACTCAGACCTGTCAGTGGCAAAGCCATTGACATTTTGGGATCTGAAGCCATGTGTAAACTTGGACAAATCACAGAATCATCAGAGCTCCCCCCTGCCTCAGTGATTAATGGAGGAATGGGAATGAATGAGTCTATCTGGAATAGTTTTGGGTGGCTCGAGTTTTTAGATGAAGAGAGGGTGCGAACAAGTTTGGTAAACTGATTGGATGTAGAGGAGTCAGTTACTAGTACTGACTTGGTGTGGTGGCTGAGAGAGTTTCTGGAACCACACCCACCCAAGTGGACTGAGAGGGAAGTGTGCTTTGTCCAGGACACAGATGGGGCTTGGGGAAGGGTGGTCTGAAGCCTGTTCTCTTCAATGACTTTAGACTAGATCATCAGGGACATGAAGAACCCCCGAGGTAGGTGGCCCTGCTCATGATCCGAAGAGCCAGAAATTGATTGGCAGATGAGAATGTAGGATAGAAAGAGGGAAAGCAGAAGGAGCAGGATTATTGCTCTGTGTGTGTTTGTGTGTGTGTGTGTGTTTGTGTGCCTGTGTGTGTGTGTGTGTGTGTGTGTGCAAGCATGCTAACAGGGGGGCTAAGGTAGATGGCTCTCTTGCCATCCATATGCCTCAGTTCTTACCTGGACATGCTGGCCAGCCTCAGTCTCTGACACTTCCAGGGAGGAGATAGGGTTTGCTAGAGAAGACATGGCTGGAGTGAGTCACAGAGCCCTTCCCTGTCTGTAGGAACAGCACAGACTAAAGACTCTGGTCTTGGTGATATCTCAGGCACAAGCGTTGCTGACTTTTGACAGGCAGTGTCTCCTGGGACCCATTCCCGATCTTCTAGTTAGAGCCCAGATGGGGCAATTGTCCAACCACCAGCTGGCCCGTCTGCATCAGGGCCCCCTGAGTCCTGGTAGCATCAGTGATAATACCATTCAGATGACCAGGGCTGGGATCCCTGGGGGACTCCTGTTTCTTCCCCTGTGTGAGATGCTGCTTGGTTGCATCTTCCTGGCCTGATCCTGAACGGGGCTTATCTGTATCATAGAGTCACCCTTTCTAATTAGAGCCCAGTCCCCATGGATGAGATACAGTCAATCCTAGAAAATAAAAAAAAAAAAATTGAAGATAAAACAGATCAGGAGCAGGGGTACCTGGGTTGCTCAGTTGTTTGGGCATCTGACTCTTGATTTTCACTCAGGTCATGATCTTGCGGCTTGCGATGGCCCTGTGTTGGGGTGTAGGCTTGATGAAGAATTCGCTTGTCCTTTTTCCTCTGCTCCTCCACCATTTCATTGTGCTCTCTCTCTGTATCAAATGAATCAATCGATATATAAATAAAATCTTTAAAAAACTCTAGATTAAGAAAATGATCAATACTTCAACTATCAGGGCGCCTGGGTGGCTCAGTGGGCTGGGTATCTGCCTTCTGCTCGGGTCATGGTCTCAGGTTCCTCAGAGTCCCTGCATTGGGCTCTCTACTCGATGGGGAGCCTGCTCCCCCCTCTCTCTCTGCCTGCCTCTCTGCCTACTTGTGATCTCTCTCTGTCAAATAAATAAATGAAATCTTTAAAAAATACAAAGAAAATCCCAGTTCAAATATATAGTAGAGGGACTATTCCTATTTTCAGTGTCCCCAGAGATCAGAGATATGAATACTATGTAGCCTGTCTATAAAGCTCAGGATGCAATCTCTAAATTCTTTTTTAAAGATTGATTTATTCATTTTTGGAGGGAGAGAGCATGGGTAGGATGAGAGAGGGAGAGGAAGAAAGAATCCCACACCAACTCTGTGCCAAGAGCTGAGCTCCATGCTGGGCTGGATCTCATAACACTGAGATCAGGACCTGAACCCAGATCAAGAGTTGGACCCCGAACTGCAGGTGCCATCCAGGTGTCTCAATCTCTGAATTTTTAAATTAATTTTTTGCTGTAATTGTATCATACTCAAAAAAAGTTTGTAAAACATCTGTGCTGTTGAACGAGTGGTAATATAATGAATGCCCATTCTCCCAGCACTCAGCTTAAATAGTTGAATCCTGCAGATGCCCTGTGTGGACCCATTTTCCATCATATCCTTTCCTTCCCCTTTTGAGGAAATCACTGTTGTGAGCACTGTGCATCATTTCTTGTTGCTCTTTGTAGTTTTGCCACATATGCATCTTTGAGGGAGGTCCTGGAGAAGATGTGACCCCCAGTTGACTCATGAATTAGCCCCAGGGAATGGGAGGTTCCCTATCCCTTCCCCTGACTTCAGAATGTAGCTCTGCCCACTCTTCCCATGATGGGAGACATTTTCAAGCACACAGCCCTGAGTTAGCCATGTGCCTTCGAGACCCTCTGGGAGGGTAAGTGACTGAACTCCTGTGAAGCCTCTCTGTGTATAAACTTTTGTGATTCTGGTGGGCGGGTGTGCCTATCTACTTGTCTTGGGGTGCCCTAGATAAGACATGCCCTGCGTGTAAGTTCCCTTGCTTAGTAACACTGTTGCTACCAATGGGCATGGCCTATCTCTTTCCTTGGTCTCTACCTGCTCTCTTTTCCAGTGTTCAGTTTGATAACCCACATGCAGAGATTGTACACTGTATAGTTAACTCTAAATGTGCCTGTTTTTGTCCTTTATGGGAAAGGAATTACACTTTTTACATTCTTCTGTGAACTGGGCCTGTTGGTTAGCATTCTTCCTTCACACTCAGTCACGTAACTGAAGGGTGTTCATGTTCAGTGGTGTCTCGTACAGATCACAGCACCTCCTTATGCACCCCTGTAGCCTGCCAGAATTCTGATTTCAGATATTTTGAGTTTGGAATTGCTGTGTGTGTATGTTGTCTGTGATTCTCTCACAGGGTCCTGGGGACACAAACATACCATATTTCCACAACAGAAGGAATTTATAGTCACACTGAGTACAACTAGTTCAGGCTATACATACCCTCGTGTAAATTCAGATTATGGTGACCTGCTCAATGAGTTCACTGCAAATGCACAGAAAATCCTTCTCTCATGAGAGATTTTTGGATCACAGAAATGTAGATAGATATTCTGGTGCCCATGTAGTAGTAATCATGGTATGTACTTTAAAAAATTAATCAGTGAAGAGTAAGACATAGAGAAAACTGTGCAAAACACAAACACCCCCTGACCCCCAGGAAATATTAGAAACCAGTCCCCTCTGTGCAACTTCCCAGATTTAGAAGTCAAACGTAGCCAGTACATCTGACACTCGTTTTGTGTGTCCTACTAATAATCATGACTTTTCTTTCATTCTGGATGAAAATAATTCCTGTCCTCTTTGGAACAGTTTCTTTTAGCTTTGTCTGTTTCTGAACTTTAAATAAATGTGCTCATCCATATGTATTCTTTTCTCTGGCTCCTTTTGTTCAATATTTTTACTTATATGAGATTTATCTGGATATGTGTATGTAGTGGCGCTATGTTCATTACCATTGCTGTGAGTTGATCATTCTGGTACCTGAGTCTTGGTGCACACATGCGTTCCTTTCTGTTGTGTACATGTCCAGGAATGGCAAGGCTAGGTTCCAAGATATCCGTATCCTCCAGTTGGGTGCACATTGTGAAACTGACCTCTAGGGAGATTGTCCCACATTGCACTTGGACTAGCAACGTGTGAGAGCGCTCGTTGGACCACATCCTGGCTAAGTCCTGGTGGTTTCAGCCTTTTCCACTGTGGTCATGTTGCTGTGTGTGTGGTTTGGGTCTCATCTCCTGATGGTTTGATTTTATATTTCAGTGGTTAATTATGAGATTGAGTTCCTTATAAATACTCATTAGCATTTTGAAAAAGATTTATTTATCTTAGAGAAAGAGTGAAAGAGCAAGAGAGAAGAGAGCAGGGGGAGGGATGGAGGGAGAGGGACGAGAGAAGCTGACTCAGGGCTTGATCTCACCAGCCAGAGATCATGACCTGATGGGAAATCAAGAGTGAGGCTTAACTGAGTGAGCCATCCAGGTGCCACTCATTAGTATTTTTATTTCCT